AGGTCATGATCCTGGAGTCCCGGGATCGAGTCCCGCATCGGGCTCCCTGCTCAGCGGGGAGCCTGCTTCTCCCTCTGACCCTCACCCCTCTCATGCTCTCTCTCTCATTCTTTCTCTCAAACAAATAAATAAAATCTTAAAAAAAAAAAATTACCATATGATCCAGCAGTTCCATTTCTGGGTATATATCCCAGAAACAAGGAGACCCCAAGGAACTGAAAGAGACTCAAACAGATACTTGTGCACCCATATTCATAGCAGCATCATTCACAATGGCCAAAAGGTGGAAGCAACCCACGTATCCACTGACAGATGAATGGATAAACTAAATGTGTTATGGACATACAATGGAATATTATTCAGCCTTAAAAAGGAAGGAAATTCTGACACCTGCTACAACACAGATGAACTTTGAGCACATTCTGCTATGTGAAATAAGCCAGTCACTAAAGGACAAATATTATACGACTCCACTTATATGAGGGGCCTAGAATAGTCTAATACATAGAGACAGAGGAATAGTGGTTTCCAGGAGCTAGGGGAAGGAGGAATTGGGAATTACTGTTTAATGGGTACAGAGTCTCAGCTGGGGAAGATGAAAAAGTTCTGCAGATGGATAGAGGTGAGGGTTGTACCACAATGTGAATGTTCTTAATGCCACTGAACCGTTCATTTAAAAACGGTTATAATGATAAATATTCTGTTGTTTTTTGACCACAAGTTTAAAAAAAAAAAAAAGCCCCACCCTGGTGTTTATTTATTTTGTGAGGGGGCTAATCAGCTTTTATTTATTTAAAAAAATTTTTAAATTTAAATTAAGTGTAATTAACATATAGTGTATTATTAGTTTCAGAGGTAGAATCTAGTGATTCATCAGTTGCATACAACATCCAGTGCTCATTCCATCAAGTGCCCTCCCTCATGCCCATCCCCCATTACCCCATCCCCCCACGCACCATTCCTCCAGCCACCCTCCATCATTCCCTACAGTTAAGAGTCTCTTGTGGTTTGTCTCCTTGTTTTC